GGAAAGACTCAGACTGTCACGCACGGGACTTGCCTCACCACTCGTCATTTGCCGGACGGGCGTGCGTGCCGACTGCCGCCCCCCTCCCTTAAAACAACGCTCCTCGCATTCGTGATTATGAACATGCCATCACGAAGCTCGAATTGCATCAGCGGCGCACCGACCTGACGACTTGAGTATTTTGCTCATTCAAGATTTGTTGATTCACCTGGGGGAGAGCAGCAAGCTTTGCTGCCGCTCCTTTCGCCCCAAATTCCTGATTTCAGCAGGTCAAATATATCGGCCGAGAAGCCCCGTTTCAGTGGGATCACGTGTTTCACGCGGGATTACCGAAGCGTTCCACCATGACGATGTCGGCGACCCGATGGTCTTGATGTGAATTTGAATCATGATTGCCTTTGCCACCCACTCCTTCGGCGCCTCGCCACAACTTGCCAAGCTGATCCTTCCCTTGTTCTGGTCACGCACGTCTCCTTACACCTGGACTGTCCAGCGCAGGCTCGACAGACCATGCGAAGCATCTGTGCGGTATGTGGCCGCGCGAGGTCTTTGGCTATCATTGCACGGCCTGCCTTCTCGTCACTCACACCGGGTGCTCATCCGGCCAAGAGTGCTCTGCTACCTCGCAAGCGGCTCAGACTCGCATTTGCTGATCGTGATGCAAGTCGAGAGTCCCACTTCCACACGGCGAGGTCCTTGAGCAACTCCGCCGCTTGCCGGGCCAAAGGCGAGCACAGAGACGACAGTCAGCTGATTCCCGACGAGCCACCGACCGGATCAGCCAAGCTGCTTGCAGATGCTCTAGCGGAAGAGGCATCCTTGGGAGGTCACGCGAGCGAGCAATGCAGAAGAGATGCAGAGAAAAAGGCTCGTCTCATCGCTGGTCAAGGCGAAGTGTGGACGGGCGACGAGCGGGTAGAAGCGACGATTGAACGCATGTTGCAGAACAAGTATAAGCCTTTGAGGATGCGTGCACCTCAGAGCGGTTACAATACCCAACATCCAGGGGACGTCAAGATGGGCAGCATACAACAGCCAGACATGAGTGGCCCGATCAAGATCGCACCTAACATGACGTCGACGGGCAGTATTGGAACGCATGTGGTCCCGCCGAGCACTTCAAGTCGAATATCTGCACTCCTAGATCTTCCACCACCGGACGCCGAAGGTCGCAGACTACCAAAGACTCCAGAAGGCCAACCTTGGCTCGCAACCTTCATCAATCCCGCACATATCGGCGGTAAGAGTAGAGACGAGTCTGGAGGGAGCATTTATAGAGCAAAGTACATTTCTGTCATTCCCAACAAGAGCAAGAAAACGGCCGGTATACCCTGGGATGACCCGAGGGCGATGAGCAGACTGAGGGAAGGGAGAAGGAAAGCGGAGAGACAAGGTAGAATGCTGCGTGCCAAGGAAAACACTCTGGATTACAGATTGGGTCTTAAACGAGGCTCGGACGGAAGAGTGCTAGATGTAGAGGAAGCACACGCCGAAGAGCTGGAGAAGAGTGAGCTTCGTACCTCTGGCGCACCTCTTTCAGAAAGCGACGCGGCGAACTGGGATTTGACCGACGTGACAGACAGACGAAGTCAGGAGGAGAAAGATTCTGAACTGGTATTCACTTCTGGCGGAGGAGGCATTGGTGGCATCATAGAGGAACGCATCAAAGAAAGCATGAGGAACGGGAATTTCAAGACGAACTCTCTGCGCGGTAAGCCTTTGAGCCGGACAGAGGAGGAGAGCAATCCGTACCTTTCTCGCGAAGAGGTGAGTGGCCCTCGTGTCGCAATAGCGATGATGCTCAGTGATCTTCATCTCACCCACCTGGCATTCTTGCAGCGCTTGATGAATCGCCTCGTAAAGCGACAAGGCGCAGCACCACCCTTCGTGGAGCTGAACAGCGACCTGGAATCCACGCATCAGAATTTTCGCATGAGGTTGCAAGATTCGTGGGTTCGTCGCGCTAGTAGGATCATTCTCGCCGAAGGCAAATTGGAGCGGGTGAT